ATGAGTTTTTCTGAAATTCCTAATTGGAAAATTATTTCTGGCCCCACTCAGATATTATACAATCTTAGGGCTAAATCAGACTATCAGACTGTTAAAAAGCAAGGGCACAGTTCTAGACAATGACAGTTGATTAATTATTCAGTGGGGCCAGATGGATATGTACAGGTTATGTCCTTTTGCATGTTTGAATTTATAGTGAGTTAAATCTGTTTACACAGGCGTTGATTCCATGCCAGTGAGGGACACGGAAGATGTCTGTTCCGTGCCTGTGAGGGACAAAGAAGATGTTTCTTCTGAATACAATTGACTCAGTTACCTGAGTTGTGTCTGAAATGGAAAGCGTAACTGGTGTGAGTGATGCAAAATCATAGTCAAAACATCTTCACACTATGTCTCCTTTCCTATTCTGGGGATAATTGAAATCTTCTTGGACTAGGAATCATTAAAAAAGCAAAAACTGGATTTTCCTTGGGCACTGCCGTGGACTGACGCGATCCTAGGCAAGTCATTTATTTCATCTCTTTAAGTATTCTTTTTATTATTTCAGAGAAAGGGGAACAGGATTTAAAGCGAGCTGTATGCTGACTGCAGAGAGCTCGATGCGTGGCTCACACTCACAAACCATGAGATCATGACCTGAGCTGATGTCGGATGCTCAACCGACGGAGCCACCCAGGCACCCCTCTTTTATCTCTTTAAAACTCCGTTAACTCAGAAAAGTAGAAATGGCAACGTCCAAACTCCCTATCTTGGAGTTTTCATGAGACCCAACAGATGTAACCAAGAGCTTTCCAAAGCTTAAGAACTTTCGAGGAAATCCACTTTCTTCGAGATAAACCCCCACTTCCATGGAGGAAGGAACGCTTTGAGGTCAAACTCCCTACTTCTTTCCTGAGATTCAGCTTCCACTGGGAGAGTTTGCTTTTCCAGTGGGAGCTACACAACAGGAGGGATTCTGATCCAGGCCTCACACTCTTCACTAGAGTATGTGGTGACTGCTCCCCGCATGCCGTCTGCAGTCTCCATGATAGAGCTTAGCATCTTCCGTTTGTGGCCCCTTCCTGATTTCCACCCTGCCATTTTTAAACCTTCCCAAGCAGAAGTGGCTTTAAGCATATCCAGATGCCTTGAACACTAGACCCAGGAAATGACCAGGAGGCAGTTACTTCTCTGGTTTGTCTAATTCCCATGTCCTAAAGAAAGTTATTACCCTTCCGTGGATGGTTAACATCAAGAATGTTCTCCCTGGGCCACCTGGCTGGCTCAGTTGGTAGAGCATGTGACTCTTGATCTTGGGATCATGAGTTCGAGCCCCACGTTGGGGTGTAGAGATTAGTGGAAGGAAGGAAGGAAGGAAGGAAGGAAGGAAGGAAGGAAGGAAGGAAGGAAG